TCATTATAAAATTCATGAGAAATACTTAACTGTAGCATAATCACTGTAAATAAATTTAGATATAGTCTTATGATAAAATAAACACAAAGGCACCCCAGGCATGAAGATTTATCTTTATCAATTAGCAGACATACAATATTATTTGTTTTGATTTTGTATATAAACCTGGTATATGGTGGACAAGGAATGGAAGTGTCGTGATATCGCTGTAGTAAGTAAATCTGAAACTTTTCATTAAGGTGTTGTTATTTTGTTTTGTTTTGAATTGGTGGGTATTTAAATAAGTTCCACTAACTGCAAATTGGATACCTGTTAGTATCAGATGCCCACCCATACTTTAGATACTAAAGATTAGGACTAAAGCAATTCCAGGATTGTAAAAACATTGAAACATTGAGGATTGTTGAAAAGGAATTGGATAGTTATGTGTATATCTTACCTTCTAGTGCATGGTATGTAGAACTTCATATTCCTATGTAATAGTTTCAATTTATCCCTTATTCAGGTCATTAATAATTTCAAACAGGCATTCAAGGTTACCAGTGTATGTGGAAATTTTACAGTGAAATAGACTTGGGCATTGTCAGCATCTTGGCAACACCCACCTCCAAATTTCCTAATTATATTTCTCAGTGGTTTTGTGTCAATAATGAAAAGCTTTGGAAGCTGAATGGAGCTGTGACAGAAACCAGATAAGAACACCCTCAGCTATTCCTTTGATGTTTAAGAAAACAAAAATGTAACAAATATTTAAAGAAATACTTTCCAATTGCCCTTTGTTTCAAGTTTTAAAAATTGCCTTTATGAGGATTTTACTCAGATCTGTTTGTAGGCATGGGGGAATAACAAGATTATGGTGAAAAATTATTCTTCCACTCGAAAATAAAAGTAAGTTGTTAATTTAATTTGATACAATTGCACTGTATGCACTATAAGTATGTATATATTAAAATCAAATGGTTCTAAGGCAGTTCATACTTAATCTTAGATGCATTTTGTTTTACTTATTTCAATTTATATGGCTGTCATCTCAAATTTATTACTCTGGATGGTTAACAACAATTGAAAACTGTATAAAAATACAGAACAATATAAAAACCTGCACTGGTACCATCAACAGCCAAGGTAAAAAAAAACACCATCAGATTAATACTGCTTGCACTTGGCCACCCATCTGCATCCTCAAGGCAGTGACAAAACCATATGTATATAAAACCTTGCAAAAACCCAGCATATTTGGGCATGATCTGAGAGAGACAGTCCCTCAAATTTCCTTGGAATCCATATAATCATGTGACTAATTTGTTAAGAGCATGTTTGGACACAAGTAGTAATTCCTTATTTTGGGGGATAAATACAGTTATTATAAGGCTGACTTTTGTAGTAGTATAACAAATCTAAAATATTGGTGTTATTGGTATCTGTTTATATGAGATTTTGGAGTTTGCTTGACTGTTTCTACCAGATCTCTGTTTTCTTGCAGAGAACCGGGGGGGGGGGCTCTCTCACCAGTGGTTTTGTTTTTATAAAAACCTCAGGGTCATGCGTGAACCTATCCTTTGGAATTGATGAACCAGAGTTTCTGGCTTAGTACTCAGGCATATGTCTTTTCTACCTAAAAGATGCATCTTTCTTTTTTCTTTTTAAACAAATAAATAAAATCTAATGGTCACAAGACATTCTGTGATGATACATTCATGTTTATCTTTCTACTGTGTAATACAAGTCGTCATACTCTGGTCTCTTTTCAGATCATATAAATAGTTTATTCATTTACTGCAAGTTGCTTAGCCCTTACCTTTAAATAAAATGGAACAAAAAAAGCACTGATGGTTTCAGGACAAAGACTAATTTTGGCTTACATGGTATAGTTGACTCCGCTAGCTAAGTAAAACATTCATTCACAGCTGTTTTATTCAGTAAGCAATTATTAGGATTCCATAGCATTAATCATTCAAATAAAGAGTTCTTCTTATATCTCCCAGCATCACCTCATGACACTGACTTCCTCTCATACCTGAGATGGCTTAAAGTTTCCTTTCTCTGGACCAATGATGCAATTTATTGTGTTTCAGTGGACACTTGGCTGCTGATATGTCTAGGAATAGTAACACCCCATTTCCTACTGGGCAACGTAGCCTGCTGGAGATCGACTTAAATATCTCCATTTGCTCAGTACCACTTCCTTCCAATTTGCTTTCGGCTGCAGGAAAGGTCACTTGACTTTTGCAGATGCACTACTCTGTGTTGTTGTAACTGAGAGAGGGATCTTGGGAGTCCTAGTGGACAATCACTTAAATATGAGCCAGCAGTGTGCTGCAGCTGCCCCCCCCCCAAAAGCCAACACAGTGCTAGGCTGCATTAACAGAGGCATAGAATCAAGATCACATGAAGTGTTAGTACCACTTTATAACACCTTGGTAAGGCCACACATGGAGTATTGCATCCAGCTTTGGTCACTACGATATAAAAAAAGATGTTGAGATTCTAGGAAGAGTGCAGAGAAGAGCAACAAAGATTATTAGGAGACTGGAGGATAAAACATATGAAGAATGGTTGCAGGAATTGGGTATGTCTAATTTAATGAAAAGAAGGACTAGGGTGATATGATAGCAGTATTGCAATATCTAAGTACCTGCCAAAAAGAAGATAGGGTCAACCTATTTTCCAAAGCACCTGAAGGCAGGACAAGAAGCAATGGATGGAAACTAATCAAGGAAAGAAGTAACCTAGAACTAAGGAGAAATTTCCTGACAGTTAGAACAATTAACTAGTGGAACGACTTGCCTCCAGAAGTTATGAAGACTCCAACACTAGAGGTTTTTTTAAAAAGAGATTGGGAAATCATTTGTTTCCTGCCTGAGCAGGGGTTAGAATGGAGGTTAGAAGACCTCCAAGGTACCTTCCAACTGTTATTCTGTTCTGTGTAATGACTAATCAGTCATTATTGATGCACTTGTCAAATCTTATGACAACTTCTCATAAAGATACATTTAGCACTGTTTCAAAAGCATGCTAGTCCTATGCTTCACAGAAGTTCAACTTAAACTGAGAAAATTAGTCAAGCTGACCAATTATGTCAGCTGTGTCACTGTTGGATTACAGGTTTTTCACTGGATCTACTGATAGCATTACATCATTTTTAAAGTGTTTTTATTATATTACTTCCTGTAATAATTCAAACATGATTGCTAGTAATACCTTCACCAGACAAGGCTACTAGAGCAGTGTTTCTCAACCTTGACAATTTTAAGGCATGTGGACTTCAACTCCCAGAATTCCACAGCCAGCAATGCTGGCTGTGGAATTCTAGGAGTTGAAGTCCACATGCCTTAAAATTGTCAAGGTTGAGAAACACTGTACTAGAGCTACCTTCATACAGATACAGTTTTTATTTATTTAATAGATTTATTTATCAAATTTAGATACAGCACATCTCACTTTCAAAATGACTGAAGCCTTTATTCTAAAAGCATAAAAACCATATAAAAATACATTGATAAAAAGAGGAAAGTAAAAACAAGAGTAAGTGAAAAGGGAAAGGAAGGGGCTTCAAAGCAGTAATCATCCCAAAGGTTGCATGCTACTCTGTTAGACCCATGAGAATCGGGAGAGACACATCTTCAAACTCCTTCAAAAGGCCAGGAGAGTGTGGTCCTGCCTCACGTCTAGGAGAAGGATATTCCAGAGGACAGGAACAATGGCAGAGAAAGCTCTTCCTGGACCCTGACAGTCAAATTCATTAACTGATGGGATCCGTAGTCAATTTTCATGGCGATCTTCATAGTCTGTCTCTCTCTCTCAGCATCACGATTCACTTAGTAACCATGTCACTTACCAATTTTGTCAGAAACAACTGCAGTTACTGTATGATTAGAACTTGTGTTATTTTTGAAGGATATACTTAATATGTCTGTTAAAGAACAACATTATTCCTTTCGTCTTGCTACCAAACCAAACTGTGTTGGTAAGGGTTATTTGTAATATTGAGAATATTGTGTATGTACTCCCACAAAACTGCAAGCATGGATAGACAGAATCAGTACAAAGAGGCCAATTTATCCTGCTCTGTACCTATTTAGCACAAATGTCACCAGCAATTTATAGGAACTTCTGAAAGTTAATTAAGCCAACTGGATATAATATTCATTCTCTTAAAATGGCTTGGGTAAATGAGAGTTTACAGAAAAGATAAAAGAGAGAATTTGAGTCCTTCACATTATCTTATTTTGTCACTATTTTCCCATTCTGTGGTATTGGTGCTTTCACAGTGTGTGATTCTGATTAGTGTGCAATAAAGGGTATACGTGAATAGCTAATATACTAAAACAGAAAAGTGCATGCATATCACCTGAATAAGAATTCATTCAAGGTTTCCTGCATGTTTGCACTGCCTTTTTATGATTTTTTCCTTTGCTGACGTTTTTTTATTTTCTATTTTTTTCTCAGAGGGACCTTCCTTCCTCCCTTTCCTTCCCTCCCTCCAAATCAGTTAAGAATATAAATAAATGTGTGTGAGAGAGTGAGAGAGCAAGTGAGTGATATTCTGTAAATGTTTTCTTTAATGGTAAAAGCCCAGTTTGCTTATTTAAAGGAATGAGTTTGGTGGCAAAGTTAGACACAAGTAATTTCTACTGATGATGCATGACTGGTCTACAGTGGCATTCAACAGCCTTAAACCTTTTCAGTTCTAAGTCACTTTTCAGTTCTAAGTTAATTCAGTTCCTGAATTAAGGAAACTGATTTTCATTGTCTAGAATCATCAAGTTCCTTTGTAGCAGGGGCAGAGAAGGATGATATAACAGCCTTTATGACATATATATGGTGTTTGCTAGGAAGACTTTTAATAGGGTGCCATTTTTCAGTTTTGATTTCAGTGGAATAGCTATGAAATGATACTTTAGGAGTACAGAAAAATACAACAGAACATCTTAGGAATAAAACTGCAATGTTGTGTTCATGCAATCATATATCGAGAGTGTTAAATAAAATTTCTTTAATTTTTTTTGAAATGTGGAAGTTTATTTTCCCCAGTAGATATACAATACACACTTAACATTACGATTAACCAACTTTATGCCTATTAAATTTTGCTTCACTAACACATGAAACACATTAAGAGGTCATTTTCTTTGTGTGTATGTGACTGAAAAAACTGTTGTAACTGAATCATTTTATATAAAAAAATTAGAAAACAGTTTTAAGAGCTGCCACCACATTCCTTTTCTTTAGACACATTATGAATAAGAAATATTTTCAATTATAAAAAAGTTTCCTTTAATTATAAAAAAAGAAAAAAGGCAAATTGCACATTTTAAAAAATAGGTTTTGTGATTATTTGAAGTACACTACATAATGAGAAACAGGGAGAGAAAGAAGAGATAAAACAACAGCATTAAATCTTTTAAAAAGCATCCTAAGAATAATGTAAAGATAATTCTATAGTAGTGAATAATAGACTGATATTATAGCACTACATATTTTTTAATACTGATACAAAATTGGAACTAAAAAGATCAAGACATTTAACTAAAAGAGTATGGGATGGCTACTTTTGTTCACATTGTATTGTGAAGAAAAATTGGCCAATAAGGTGTTCCACCAAAGCTCAACGCATATTTCTAAAACTAATTAAAATACTCAGGAAGATCATACTATATAAAACTCAAGGCATAAACATTGAGTTATCAAATATTGTTATATTCCTTTAAATTTATGTTGCATCTTGAAAACTTGTGATATATCACATTATCTTGAATAGATTTCTGAGAGCTCTTATCATTTACATATTGCACTTAGGATAAGCCATTAAGTCTGCTTTTTTACAGTACTTGGAAATGTATGGTTGAAGCCACGTTCATAGCTCACTCAATTTAGCAAGAGGAATATATTTCAGCATATTCAGTACTGTTAGCATGCTGCCTAATAAGATTGGCATGAAAGTGCATGATAATAGCCATGGAATTATTAACTTTGCACAGGACAAAAAGGAGAAATACTAGTGTTAATACCATGGATCTAAGTACAGAAATGGCTACAATTTTACTGTAATATGTAAATGAAATTTAAATCCAATCCATGATAATTTAAAGTGTTAACATTTATTTAAATCCTGATTTATATATATTTTTTGGAATAGGATTTCAAATGTGTAGTGCCAGATGTGTCCAAAATACACACTTGTAAACAGTTATGCACCAACGTGCATCCTGAATTTCTACAAATCAGATTTTCCTATAATTTCAATACATACCTATTTTTTCCTAGATGTTAATTGCAGTCACTCTGTGGATTTAAAAAAAGTTATACAAGTTTTCATTTATAAAACTGCACGTTGCAACAAGAACCAAGACAAATATATTCTGTTCGCAATTGGAAGCCTGTTTAAGTCCTAGAAATCTTTCATAGAAGTTGAGGTTAAGGGGAAAAGACCTTGTTGGCAATGTGACTTTCTCACAAGAAAACTCATGACATTTGGTGCCTAATACTAACACATAGGGTTTCACAGATAATATTGGCAAAGATTGCTTGACATTTGAATACATGGGTTATCTCAAGTCTTGCAAAAGACATATTTTTGTGCAACAGACTTATGTCCCATATCCTAGCTCTTAGTACATCAGTACATCACAATTCCAGTATTCCAGAGTAAGAAAGGAATATATAAGAATTAAGTGATATATGATAGGAATTCAGTATCTTTTGTCACTTTTAACTGATTGGTGTTGTGAAATGTTTAATTGAAAAGTCCCTGTCTACAGGTATACAAAAATTGCTCCAAACCAGACATAGCTGTATCACGATTTTTGGTAGGTTATGAGTAGAATGAGTTCTTTTCTCCTTCAAAGCAGCTGTTTGTATCATCATTATATGAAACTATTTGCAGATTTTTTTGGATCCATTCTACTAATGCTAGCGTATATATATATATATTCATTTTTAATATACAGAATTCAGGATAGAAAAATGGTTTTTTTACACTTATGAATGTTCTATGTCTTTATAGAATAATGGCCTTAGCTATGTCTAACATTTCAATTACCGAGAATTTTACATAACTTCCATGCACTCTGAATCAATGCACCTTTCCTTGTTTCTAGTTTGCCAATACTCTGAACTAAATTAAAATCAAAAAGTAATACTTGCAATTCTGATTTACAATTTATACTAAAAATATTTTAGTTTATCACATTCTCAAAGTAATGTAATGAAAAAGAATGCATATTTCTTTGCCTGATCAAGAAGTATTTTGTTTAACAGTAGCATGATCATCAAGGCAAAGTATAAACAACAGGAACTAACTGTGTGTATATGAATGTTTGTAACAATGATATGAATGAATAAGATAAGCTTTTTGATGTAAACTTCAAATAAAACATTTAATGCATTGGAATACATGTATAATATTTCTAACAAAGATGTGAAAAACTGGCAAGTAGCTGGAGAAATCATGAAAATTAATGATGAGACAGGATGCTTTGTTAATGTCCACTTACAGCAAGTTTGGTTTATTTAAAAAGTGTATAAACATGCATTGTTTTTGTAAGAAGAGGCTAAATTTAGTCATCAAAAATAGGTCAAAGATGTCCTCTTTTCCTTGTTTAAACCAGTTCCCTGTAATGTTATTGAATTGGTAAAAAGAAACACCTTGATTTCAAACTGAGCATGAATATGCCGTAAGTTTCTTTTCAACTACTGTAACCCAAGATTTAAATACAAATGAATTGGATTTCAATGTCTTACAGCTTCAGATAATAATACAGCAAAACTATGTGTTAGTTGCATAAGAAAAATTAGATCATGGATTTCAAGTGACGTAGCTCTACATCTTCATCTTTACTGAACAAGCATTGAAAAGATGAACACTGTAGATTTTTGGAAGCAGCTTGGATATCTCAATGATAATTGCATCTTTAAGTCTTGCTAAGTATTTCTCTACCTTCATATGTTCATACTGGATCTCTACCTTCAGATGGAAGAGCAAATCAACGATAATACTCTTTTCTAAAATAAAAAGTAATATAAAAACAGCTTTAGTGAAACATCTTAACTTCCTTTGTAGTGAGTGCAACTGTACTGAATAAATGAAAAACTGATACTAAGAAGATAGGAGGCTTTCGTGTTCTAATCTGATCTTGAAACTGATACATCCATCATTTGACCTTTTTCTTTAAATGATAAAAGCAACATTGCTTGCTATTTCAGATGGCATTCCATTCCTGATGTCCCAATCAATTCTTGCTAACATCAGTTTTGCCAGTCATCTTCCTAATTCTACACCCAAATGGAAAACCACCTAACGTAATTCATTACATCCAGCATTATCCAACATAGCTTACAGTACATAGACTCCTTTCACATTCAATCTTCTTCTTCATGACACGAGGCATAAAAGTTTTGTGCTTATCACCAACAAAAAAATTGCAGTGCAAACTTCAAACATAAAATGTTACACAATTAAAAGTTATTATATGGCACCACAGCCTATTAATTCACATATAGTACAACAGACCAAGAAGGACAGACAATAATATGAACATAGCTAAATGAAGGTGAGTTTGCATAGCAATGCAATAAAAAGAAATTATGTACAAGGGAAATTTATTTCATCCTGCAGGGTGATTTTTTTCCTGGTATATATGCTTAATAAGAAAAAAATTTAAAATGAAAGGTGTAAAAGAAGAACACAGGTAGAATATCTGTGGGATATGTGTGGCTGTGTTTCTTTACATTGCATTTACAGTTCCTTTAATAGTAAGTACATAAATAAAGAAAATGTTCATTGCACTGTTTAGTGTCATCACTTCCATGAGTTGAGACTTGATGGCCTTGAAAGCAGCTGGAGATGTTTCTTTTCAACTACTCTGTTAAACAAAAAAACAAGAGCAGGATAATGTTTTAAGATACTTTAGTTTTAAAAATTATGCCTTTTTATGATTTAAGCATATATTGATCAAAAATATAGTTTAAAATAACATTTTAAACTTAGTACATGTAAATTAAAATATTACAATATTTTGATACTTAAAATAAATATTGGGAGCAGTAATTGTAAGAGTAGAAACTTTGGACAATTTACACCACAAAATACTATCTTTGCATATTTTAATACATCTTAACATTACAAATTTCTGGAAAAGAGAAGTCTGGAAGTAGAGCAAAACTATTATTAAGATAGAATTTTAACTGAGGAAAATAAATTGATCTAATTTGTTCTACAACTGAATAACTATGACCCAATTGTAAGTGAAATTTACATGTAACACGTATTTGAGCTACATTAATTCACATTTCAAGTATTATTTTATACAGTTCAAAGTTTTATAACATGACAGAAAATATCCTATAAGAAAGCAACTGTGATCTCATCCCCAAAATATTAAGGTTCTTATATGTAGAGCTGAAATAGATATTTTTTTACATTGTCACTCATAATTTTCAAAAAGGGTCATGTTCATTCACTTGAATCATTTATGGACAAAATAGAGGCAGACCCCCTATTATTATGGGCATTTTGTGTTATTTTTTCAGACTTTATACATTTTCTCTACACATAAATTAGGAAAATGCAATTATGTCTAGACCAGACATGTCAAACTCGCAACATCACATGACATTGCGCAACATATCGGGATGGTTTTGCTATTGCCGGCAATGGGGTGGGTGCGGCTTCTGGATGATGCATCCGGCCCATGGGCCGGCAGTTTGACACCCCTGGTCTGGACTGTTCTTTATTGCACAGAACTATAAGTCATTTTCCCATTTGCACATTTTAAAGCTTTTTCTTCATTGTTACTAAGTTACCTGTAATACTAAGTTACTAAGTATATTGTAATATTATCAAAAGTTCACATTTTGGTATATGCCCACAGCTTTTGGATTTATTCATTTATATATAGCCTATATAAATATTCTATTTTTATAAAAATAAGGGAGAGCAAATAAAGGGAACAAATTCCTCCTATATCTTTAGATTTTTTTTGTGTGTGTAACCCTTTACCATGGAATATAAATAATATGCTGTTGTAAGCAGTAGTTTTCTACTGTAGTTAAAAGTTTGCTGTTCAGAAATGTTAAATTTCTGTTTAATGTTAAATTCTTGGAGAAAATGATTAAATAAAATTGAGAACTTCCAAAAGAATAGTTAAAAAGCGTTTTGTTCTTTTTTTCTAGGTGACCACCTTCTCTCTTGTGCATATTATATATTTATAATGTTTATATGTAATAAAACTAGGAAATCAATACTTTTTATATTAATATTAAATTATATTAAATTTATATTAAACATAGCAAAGCTATATGAAATAAAAAGAGATTCAGAAGTAAAAAAGTAAGTGTATCAATTAAGCTATCTGTAGAATTGTTTGTATTTTATTTTATTTTCAATAATTTGTATGAAGAAAAGGCCTATAAGACTGAATCTAAGAATCTAAGCAATTATGTTATATAGAGGGAGTTTCCTGTACTAAAAGACATAACATTAGTGGAAACTGTTATTATCCTTTGTTATGTGTTATAAATTTATAGGAAACTGACATTGTATTTGGCTTTTCATTTTTCCTATATACTGGTTTGTTTCTTGCTTATTTAACAACATGGTTACAATATAGTTTTATGAAACATGGTCATTGTGCCCTACAAACTCAAGAAAACTAAACAAGAAGTTCCATTGATTCAGGACTATGGAACATTACTATTTATACTAATTCAGATGGAAAATACGGTGTACACTTGTTTAAATTTATAATATTTTGATTTACATTATTAAACGTAAAAAATGTTACAGCATATTATAGGTTAATATATTGTTAACAATAGTTTTCCCATGACTATCCACTGACATAGCAAAGTAATCATTTTTCTTCTATTCTAATTTTAAACATTTTAATGTTCTTGATTGCAAAATAATCTTACATAATTCATCAGAAAACTGTCCTTGACTGTTTAATCCAATATATCCTACATCAATAAGGTCGCTCATGTTGCGCTGATGACCTCCTTTCATGACATCTGCTTTTTTGGGTCCAGTTGATCCTTTAGAAGATGCCGTACCTGAAGAGCTGTGGCCACCTGGGGATGGGAAGCTAGGCTTGCTATATGGCACCAATGTCTCTTCTGAAAATATAATGAGACATACAAATTTTGAAATTGGCTTGTGCATTAGGAATCAACAGTCTCACCTATGTATATGAAATATTACATTCAGTTTCAAAAATTTGAATAATTACTAAGTTTTGGGAATTGGAAATTATATATATATATATATGTTTTCTGAGGTTTTCGCGGGTATTTGTATGTAGGTCTTTGGTTGTTCGGGTTTTCTCCCGCGTAAAATTGGAAGTGTCTTGGCAACGTTTCGACGAAGTCTCATTCGTCATCTTCAGGCTGGTGTTTTCAGCTTCGTGCTTTGAGCAGCAATGTGTGGTCTTAGCTGTTTCTTCCTTTTAACTGCCAGTGGGGGTATGAACTGATTGGGTGGGAGCTTGGCTGTGTTCTGATTGGGTGGAGGTGTGTTCTGAATGGTTAGGGGCTTGGCTGTGCTCTGATTGGCTGGGGGAGTGTTCTGTTTGGTTGTGCTCAGGTTAGTCTGAGTTGCAGAGGGGTTTAAGATTTTGGGCTGCCTTGCTATTTTTTGGCTTCACGTTCGTGGTCATGTCTCATCTTCATGGTGGGTGTCAGTTTGCTTCATGTATGGATTGGAGGGGTTTAAAGTGGCTAATGATGCAGCTGTGGTCTGGCTTCTGGTTTGTGGTCGTGTCTCATCATCGGTGTGGCTTTGGGTTTGCTTTTTGCGTGGATGTGTGGTGGTGACATCCTGTGTGGTTTTTGTGAGTGTGGGGCTGGTATTATTTTTTGTGTTAGGGAGTCGTTTGTCAATAAGGGCGGGTTTCCAAATGGCTGGTAAGTGGTAGGTGTCATCTCATTTGTTCATGCTATGTGAGCGAAGCTGAAAACACCAGCCTGAAGATGACGAATGGGACTTCGTCAAAACGTTGCCAAGACACTTCCAATTTTACGCGGGAGAAAACCCAAATAATCAAAGACCTATATACAAACACCTGCGAAAACCTCAGAAAACACACACACACACACACACACACACACACATACACACACATATATATTTCAAAATAATTAAATGTAAGATGAATTTAATAACTTGCATGATACTTTAAAATAACTAAACCTTTGGAAAGAAAAATATATGCATGCCTTTTGCTTAAAATATATGCACCCCTTTTGTTTAGTGTAATAGTTAAGGCAGCAGCACTGAAATATGGAGACCATGAGTTCTAGACCTGCTTAGATGCAAAGCCAGCTGGGTGAACTTGGACTATTTGCTCTCCAGACGATTGCAACCCTCTTTTGAAAAAAATCTTGCCAACGAAATTGCAAAGACTAGTTCAGGCAGGAATCAGAAGTTATATTTTGCTAAAAGGAACACAGTCATATATTCATTCTGTAATTAAACCGCTCATAATTAAAACAAACATGGTGCCTTAAATAAATAGAAAAAATACACAATTTGCAGACTAATAGTTGATTACTGAGTAACTATTGCTGCTCAGTGTACAAAAAATGCTTTTCTTCACCACTAGGATTATGATAAATTTTCAATTAAGATAAAGAACTATACAATTAGCATATTTAATTACTTACCTGGTATTATTTCCAAAGATATTTAGTACTTCGGAAATTATTTAATTGACTTATATATAAAAACTAAAACATTACCTAATAAACATTTCCTATGCTTTAATACTGAGTTCTGTCACATTCACTATTTCTTAGCAAAGATCTATAGAATCTGTTATAGTTTAAGAATAAAATTCCAGAGTTCTGGTGAGGAACAATGAACCAATGCACAATATTTTTCTCTGCTCTGCCGAGTGCAGGAGACATTACAGCCTAAAAAGCTATTGGATGTTAGATCTAGATTCCTGAAATTCTCTTTGGAACATGTTGTGATTAACCATTTATACTTTGGAGGCCTATTTTTATGAGTAGATATCAGGAACCAATTTCAATCAGCTGGGACTCATGGATTCCATTATGCTCCAAGCCATAAATGCTGCCTTTCATGAACTTAAAGTTCAACCAAACTCCATATTTTTATTCACTTTAGACTTGTATTTTATTGTTCCTTTAAGATTTAAAAATCTTGGAACAGTAACTTTACCAGTCACTTTGTGAATCTCTCTTCAATCTGTTTAAAAAAAAGAAAATCAGGGTTCAAGAAATGCATGACTTTTTGATTCTATACTGGAACCAAAAGCAGATATTAAAGAGAAACCCTGAATATAATCAGAATGGAACCTAGGATGTACATAAAAATTATAAAAAATAGATAGATATGCTGGATTTACCAATGGAACTAAATGATCATTTAAAAATTAAAGGCATACAAATAATGTATCAAAACGTGTGGATTATCTTTTAAAATTGGAATATAAGAGATGTACTGGAATTATTACATGGAAATTATAGATGGACATGGATAAAGATGACAAGATTTCCAAGAGAAGAAATAAAAATAAAAACACTCTGCCAGAGAGGAGTTCCCTGAGGGTGGGCTCAGCACGAGGTTTGAAAGCTCGGAAGACTAAACCTCTGGTCCTGGTGACCAACCCAGATTGGATCCTGCAACATTATCATGGGACACCTATATCTGCCTTCATTGGTGAGAAATAAAAGTAATAGAAAAAAACTTGATCAAGATTTGAAAATGGCTTGAGCAGGAAACGTCTGATGATGCTTAGTGGTTATCATAAATGGATATTATTATTTTTGATATGTAAAGAGAAGTTACTATATCTTATTTTTGTATTAACAATTTTGTTTAATTGTTAATTTAGATTATATTTTGATTAGTAAAAAGGAAGATAAAGACTTTTGATTAAATGGGAAGGAGTACTATATTATGTTCTTGGTTTTCTTTAAATTTTTTTACTGGACCTTTGCTGATTAATAAGGAATGCTGAAGATTTAGAGATAAAAATAGATGAGTTATAGGATAAAGATGTACTTGGTTTTATTTTAAGAGACAATGAAAAGTTATTAATGATGAATATACTTGTTAACAATGAAGGTAGAAATTTCTTTCTCTTATTACTTCTTTCTTGGTGGTTGATTCTTTTTCTAAACTATTTTTGTGTTAGGTTCTTATGTTAGATTTACAGATAAAATATAATCAATAAAATTATTGGGAAAAATATATCACCTAGTCCTAGAACTAAAATTCCAACCAAGATTAATCCATTTACATTCTATTGATTCCAGTAGAAAACAAACAAGATGGTGGTAAAGCAATATTCAATATTTAGTTCATAGTCCATAACTGAAATCTGTTCTATGTTCTAAGACCTTTCCAGTTTTGCAGACTGTTGAGGGGGAAAGAGGGAATGGTTCCATCTGAGCAGCTGGCAAGCATGTGGGCCTGCACACAGCTCCATTTGCCTGTAAACCTGCCGCTCACACAAATGGAGTGTTATGTGCATGCACTCACCCATTGCTCACACAAATGGAGCTTGCATGCACATGCGCGCCCACTGCTCATGTAAATCAGATGCATGTATGCACGCATTCTCAGTTTCCATGGCCCAGTTGCAAACAGCTCATGGCCCACTAGTGGGCTGCAGCCCAAAGAGTATTTAAAGTGACTAGGATTAGGATTATAGGAATCTGGTTTTATTATGTTGTACCATCAGTCCATACAACTGAGTTGTAAGTAAAAGCTTTTCCTAATTTCACCTCAAAGGTTAGTGGCTACAAAATGAATCTGAGACTTTCATACATAATCATAAGCTATGGCAATAGTACAGTTTGAACCACACCTGAAATACTGCATCCAGTTTTGGTCACGTTACAAAAAAGTTGTTGAGACTTTGTAAAAAATGCAGAGAAGAGCAACTAAGATGATTAAGAGCTCGGAGACTAAAACATAAGAAGAACCGTTGCAGGAATTGGGTATGGCTAGTTTAGAGAAAACAAGGACTAGGGATGACATGATAGAAGTATTCCAGTAGCTGACGGGCTGCCACAAAGATGAGAGGGTCAACTTATTCTCCAAAGCATTAGAAGGCAAGACAAGAAAACAATGGATGGAAAATAATCAAGGAGAGAAGCAACCTGGAACTTTTTAACAGTGAAAACAGTTAACCAGTGGAATAGCTTGCCTTCAGAAGTTGTAGGTGCTTCATCACTGGAGGCCTTTAAGAAGAGACTGGACAACCACTTGTCTGAAATGGTATTGGGTCTTCTGCTTGAGTAGGAGGTTGAACTAGAAGACCTTCAAGATCCCTTCCAGTTCTAGTCTGAATGATTGAACTCAAGCCTCAATATGCAATATGTCTTCTGATATGTCTACTTTGAAATACATTTTTTAACATTATAACCCAATTTGTAAACCATGTATTGAACCTGGACCATAAAGAATTACACTGCTTATTCTTGCTTGTCCAATCCTGGTGTCTTTTAATATTTTGGCATTTTTTAAAACAAGCGTTCAGAAAAAGTGTTCTAACAAATGGTTTTTAATAAAGAATGTCATTGCCCTTATTGCTTTTCTTATATCTACTTGGGTCTATGACGCAATCACTGCAACATTATTGCTGTATGTGTATTGGGGAAGGATAGTATTATATAACAAGATATAGAATATTTATTTAGCAGAATAAAAGACCATAAATGTATTTCTGAAGTGTATTTTTCAGTTCACTGAGGCTGATTCCTAGATAGATATATTCCACTCTTATATTTACACAGTAATAATCCCAAAATAATAGATTATTGTTCTTATAAAATAATCAAAATTCAGCAGTCAATTAGTGCATAGCATTATTGTTGTGCATTCCATAAAACACATCATTATTACTGAATATCATAAGAATAAAGAATTTATGTCAGCATGCTTTTATCATATGTAAATGTTTTTTCTTATTATTTATTTGCAATTTATAATTTTTTGGTAAAGAGCTATGAATATAGAATTTATTCCACTAATTCAGGATGCCTGAAATATATTGTATCAGTTAGTAGAATGAATATCTGAAATCTGTAGACAATAATTTATGAATATAATAATAATAATAATAATAATAATAATAATAATAATAATAATAATAATAATAATAGTAAAGTTGGAAGGGACCTTGGAGGTCATCTAGTCCAACCCCCTGCTCGGGCAGGAAACCCTACACCATTTCGGACAAATGGCTGTCCAGTCTCTTCTTAAAAACTTCCAGTGTTGGAGCATTTACTGCTTCTGGAGGCAGGCTGTTCCACTGATTAATTGTTCTCACTGTCAGGAAGTTTCTCCTTAGTTCTAGGTTGCTTCTCTCCTTGATTAGTTTCCACCCGTTGCTTCTTGTCCTGCCTTCAGGTGCTTTGGAAAATAGCTTAATTCCCTCTTCTTTATGGCAGCCCCTGAGATATTGGAATACTGCTATCATGTCCCCCCTTGTCCTTCTCTTCGTTAAACTAGACATACCCAATTCTAGCAACCGTTCCTTATATGTTTTAGCCTCCAGTCCCCTAATCATCTTTGTTGCTCTTCTCTGTACTCTTTCTAGAGTCTCAACATTTTTTTACATCGTGGTGACCAAAACTGGATGCAGTATTCCAAGTGTGGCCTTACCAAGGCATTGAAGAGTGGTATTAATACTTCACGTGATCTTGATTCTATCCCTCTGTTAATGCAGCCTAGCACTGTGTTGGCCTTTTTGGCAGCTGCAGCACACTGCTGGCTCATATTTAAGTGATTGTCTACTAGGACTCCGAGGTCCCTCTCACAGTTACTACTATTGAGCATGGTGCCACCTATGCTGTACTTGTGCATTTGGTTTTTCTTGCCTAAATGTAGAACCTTGCTTTTTTCACCATTGAATTTCATTTTGTTAGTTAGTGCCCAGTGTTCAAGTCTGTCCAGATCCTTCTGTATCTAAAGCCTGTCTTCTGGAGTGTTGACTATTCCTGCCAGCTTGGTGTCGTCTGCAAATTTATAAGAAATATAGTAAATATATTTCTTATAAATAAGACTTCCAAATCACCAAACTGGCTGAATAAAATTTCTAACCTTTATCTTTTAAAAGTTACATACAAACAAGTCACAATTTTGTCCATTTTTCAGAAAAAAATGAATTATATATGAATCAATGTTTGCTAATGAACATAAAGATATTTAGTGCACTATTAGCATGCAAAAATTCTAGATCAGTGTTTTAAAAACACAGCAAATACATGCTTCAAAGATAATTGTTCAGATAATAAATAAATGCTTCAGGTGTATAGAATAACAGCACTATTAATACCTAAAAGAAAGCATTCAATCAGAATGTTAGATGTATTCAATACTTCACCATTGTAAGAACAAAGAACAATGGATGTCAGATGCTAATTGACATCCTTTGTTGCTATGTAAGCCTTGACCTTCACCATTTGTAAGGGAATTAATAATAAATTATAACAGGTTTAGGGAATTGCCTAAGCTGCTCTGAGATGTACAATTACACACCTGATCCAAAGGCTTGCTTTTGCTGGCCTTGAAGTTCAGTGGAAGTTAGCCAATCCTGGGTTTGTCGTTGCCACTCTAATGATGTTCTACCTTGGCGATCCAAAGAACTCTTTGTTTCATCTATGTTGGTTGTATGCTGTCGCTCTAAAGAGCTCCCTTTTCTCTCTGTTGAACCTCCACGTTGGCCAGTACCTATCTGTTGCCTTATTCCCTGACCCGGAGGTGGGTCTGGTGGTGGTGGAAGATCTAAAAATGTAAACAGCTTTATAAAATTCAGTGAAACATTAAATTATAGAACAAAAAAGAAGGGCTTTAATCTACTAACATTATTAAACATATATTTTATTGATTTTATTTAGGTCATATTCTTTCTGAGAAAAATAATTTTAGCTGGCCCAGATAATTTACATTTCTTATTGCATATTTGCAAAACCTATAAATTCGCTGATTTTGATAAACTAAGCAGAACTATACTTGGATGTTTGTTTCTGACCTCCAAGAAATGTCAGAACTGCAGGCTAGAAGGACAATCCCTCCGCCCCCCCCCCCAAAAAAAAAATTCCAGAAGAAACCAATGGAGGACCATCTTTGTAACTGTTGCCAAGCTATCTATGCACTCAGGAAGACCCAATATCCTAAAGGAGCCTTTTCTTTATTAAAACAAAAACAAAAAGACCTGTAAGATGGAACTTTTATAGTAATGTTCTCAGTTAAGCCAATCTCTGTGGTCAGAGTAACTATCTGAACATTCATTAAAGGGTAATTATACCCTTTCTGCCTCCCTTTTGTCTATCTTTAATCAACACATCAATTCGCATCAGTAAGTGCAGCTGTAGGAGGTAACTGGGACAGATAGAACTCTCATTTTATGAACTTCTTTTAAGTTAACATTTTTAAAATTTACTTGCAGTCTTTTAGTCCTTGAAACAATCATTGAAACCCTTTTCTCACGAGTAATAATTCAACTATATACTCTGCCTACTCCAAATTAAAAAAAAGTATGTACTACCCACACATAACCTGTTAAAACATCTTAAGCCATATTATACATATTATAAAATGACAAAAATGACAATGAGCATGTGTTAGAAATGCTAGTTATTCTACAAAGAAACTTGACTTTCAGCAACCAGTTCTTTTCTGATGTAACGTTGGACAAAGCCAGAATTATTTGCTCAGATGTACCATTACATCTGTCAAGACAAATAAAAACTGATGAAACTTTTTTTCTCTACAGATATGAATGACAGGACAAAGAAAATGGATATAAAAGCAATCATACTAAGTTTAATCACCAATTTAATATAGAAAGGATTTGACTAACTTGTTGAGGCAGAGAAGTGTGTCTATGTGTGTGAGGCTTTGCAAGTTTTAGCTGCACTCAAGAGCTATAAGGCTATGTTGCAAAAAGCTGGTAATTATGCATCAAATACCTCTTAGATTTCTGAAAAATGCATGCAAACCTTAATGTAAAAATACCGTGTGATAAGTGGCCAAAGTCTCTTTCATACACATCACAATTATAGTACATAGTTTTTAAAAAGACAAGTGCCTTGCAAAAACCTGGGAATATGATGTAATCTCTAAATGTATAGAATAACATGAATTAAAGACGATATTTATTTATTTATTTATTTATTTAATTTTATTTATATACCGCCCAATCCCAAGGGACTCAGGGCGGCGTACAAAATTAAAACAATAATCTAATAATAAAATAATACAATCATACAGCGTGTCCGATCATATCCCCCCCCGGGGACATCAGCCCCAGGCCTGCCGGAACAGGAGAGTTTTAACAGCTTTCTTAAAGGCCGGCAGGGTGGGAGTAGTTCGAACCTCGGGGGGAAGTTGATTCCACCAGGTCAGAGCCACCACAGAAAAGGCCCTTCCCCGAGGGCCCGCCAGCCGACATTGTCTGGCCGACGGGACTTGAAGGAGGCCCAATCTGTGGGACCTCACCGGTCTCTGGGAACTGTGCGGCAGTATGTGGTCCTGTAAGTAACCTGGCCCTATGCCATGAAGGGCTTTAAAGGTGATAACCAACACCTTGAATTGCGTCCGGAGACCCACAGGAAGCCAGTGCAGCTCGCGGAGGATAGGTGACAGGTGGGCGTACCTTGGCGCGCCCACAATCGCTCTCGCAGCTGCATTCTGAACCAACTGCAGCCTCCAAACACTCTTCAAGGGTAGCCCCATGTAGAGCGCGTTACAGTAATCCAGTCTTGAGGTGACAAGGGCATGAGTGACCGTGAGTAAAGCCTCCCGGTCCAAATAAGGCTGCAACTGGTGCACCAGGCGAACCTGGGCAAAGGTCCCCCTGGCCACAGCCGATAGATGTTGTTCCAAATTTAGCTGTGAGTCCAGCAGGACACCCAAGTTGCGTGCCTGCACTGAGGGTGGTAAATTTGCTCCCCCCAGGACTAATGATGGACCACCCAGTTGACCTTTGGGAGGCAAGACCCAGAGCCACTCGGTCTTGTCAGGGTTGAGTCTAAGCCTGTTCACCCCCATCCAGACCCTCACATCTTCCAGGCACCGGCACATCACATCGACTTCTTCACTGAAAGGACACGGGGTGGAGATATACAATTGGGTATCATCCGCGTACTGATGATACCTCACCCCGTGTCACCGAATGATCTCACCCAGCGGTTTCATGTAGATGTTAAAAAGGAGGGGGGACAGGACCGAGCCCTGAGGCACCCCATGATCGAGGCGCCTAGGGGTCGATCTCTGTCCGCCCAACACCGACTGCGACCTGTCAGAGAGATAGGAGGAGAACCACCTCCTATCTCTCTGACAGGCCCACCCCCACCTCTCCGAAAAAACGCAGAAGGATACCATGGTCGATGGTATCGAAAGCCGCTGAGAGGTCAAGAAGCACCAGGATAGAGGAATGACCCCTATCCCGGGCTCGCCAGAGGTCATCGGTCAGTGCGACCAAAGCAGTCTCAGTGCTGTAGCCGGGCCAGATTGAAAAGGGTCCAGATAATTAGTTTCATCCAAGGATAGCAAGAGTTGGGACGCCACCACCATATTGAGTTTTAATTGGCAAATAAGCTTTATATGGGCAAATCTGAAACACAGAGAACATATTTATTGTATCTGTGTGATAGAAAAAACAAAATATAAAAGAAACAGTTGACTTAAAACTTAGCTTTGCAATGTGCTTAAGTTTTAAATGTATACATGAGTAAATACCAGTTCTCCCTAAATTCTAAACCAGTTCTGAAATTCGCAAGCAATTTATAGAAACAAAGTTTTGCATACCAAGCCTGGACATAATTTATTATTTTCTGATACTGAACAAAGATGCAAACATACAATTGTATTTGAAGAAACCTTTATAACAAAAACAGTGGATTTATTTTTCACAAGCCACTGAAATAGTTTTAAACCAGGGAACTTACCATCTGCCATGCCTTCCCTACGATGAGGCAAGCATGGCTGCTTTTTGGTAGGGTTAGGCCTAGGCCTTTGACTCTGATTCTGGATTATACTAGTATTGCTATCAGTAGAAAATGGGCTGGTTGGGCGAAGTTTCTGAGAAGTGGAATGTGGTTTGCCTAAAATAAAAAAATAAAAACATTCTTAAAATATTTGCATTTAAAATATTGTTTTATAGGAGGCACTACCAGAAAGGTAACAAAGGCAGCAGCATTTTATTTTCTGAGAAACTTTCAAACTTTCGCACTGCATCTGGCTAACTGGGTGATGAACCATAAATATTAATAATGCCAATAGCATGCTTGCCTACAATACTTAAATTACTCAAAGATATAATAGAGGAAAATAAAGCACAATAGAACAGAATAGAGGAAAACAAGCATAATAGAACAGAAAGGAAATAATAGAAAAAAGCAGAAGTACAAAATATCAACTTCTGATTGATAAAACGGTTTGAAAACTTCAACAGCTCAAAAACCAATTTACTATTGTCTGGGTTGATTATAAAAAGCTATTTGACTCATTACCACAAAGTTGGATCATCAAAAGTTTGGAAAAAATTGGTATCAGTAAAAACTTTAGAATGTTTAATAGAAAAAATAATGAAACAGTGAAAGATAGATTTGATTGTTGGAAATGAAAAATATGGACTTGCAAACATTAGGAGAGGCATCTTCTTCCAGGGTGACTCATTATTATTATTCTTATTTGTCATTGCAATGATCCCATTTTCACTGATTTTGAAGAAAAAAATCTAGGCTATCAAACAACAGCAATGCTAATAAAATTTCACATTTGCTTTTTATGGATGATCTGAAGCTTTATGGAAAATCAGAAATTAAAATCCAGTCCTAGACAAATAAGATAAGAATTTTTAGCACAGATGGAATTGGCCTAGAAAAATGTGCTATAGTAGCAATTAACTGAAATAAAATCAAGAACAGCAATGGGATTGAAATGCTGAATTGTCCAACCATAAGGGAGACATCAGGATGAAATTTACAAGCTTCTGGTCATTTTACAATTTGATAACATCAAGCATGGAGAAGTTAAAAATGTAATTAGTAAAAGAATACATCAAAAGTGTCGGAAAAGTGCTAAAAACAAAAGTGAAAGGTGCAAACTCCATCAAAGCCACCATGTCACTATACCTGTGACATGATATATTGCTGGAATTATTAACTGGACATAAGTTGATCTCGACAGTTTCGACCCAAAAATAGAAAAATTGATGATTATTCATTATGCATTATATCTCTGTAGTAATATTGATAGATTATAGGCAGGCACATAATGGGGAATAAACACTGAAAGCAATGTATTTTGCCAGCAGCCATGAACCGATCATGTAATGGTGATCGGTCATTGGTCAGTGATTTTTTTTTTTAGTACCCTCATACCTTCAAATCGTCGCTGAACTTGTAAGTCCGTAAATGAGAATATACTGTATCAAATTTGGTCCAGGTTCCCACTTTTAAATTTTGCAATCTCATGGGATTTGGGAATCATATCTATTTACTGGCTGTTCCTGTGGTCTGAAATGTTCTCTCCTGATTTATGGCAGGCACCAATTTTGTTTTTCTTTACAAAAGCTGTTAAGATCGCTTCCCTATCTCTCCCCACTTCTCTAATTTGAGGCCAGTAATTTCAAGTTTGGTTGATATTTAATTTGCGGTTTTTTATGGTCATTCTTTGAACTGGGCAGCCTTATAAAACCAATCAATCAATCAATAAGCAGACTTACCATTTACTGCCATTAATCACAAAATTCTTGTCTGTTGCAGTCCTTACTAGACACAAAATCTGATTTGATGACCAACTTAGGAAATCAATACTACAAGAAGGCTAATACTACTTTTATTGAGATTCTATGTACTATAATAATAATAATAATATTGTGCTGTACCTCCTTCCTTCTTATAATTCACTGCATCTCCCTGAGTCACTTCTGAATGTTATTTTGTTGTTATGGACTTAAAAATACTTTCATCCTCTTTTACTTAGGTAATGTTTCCTGCATATTTATCTGAAAATATCTCCCCAATTGTATACTATCCTTTAGAACAGCTTACGCTCCAAGGTATGGAAGACTCTGATCTTGCTTCACTTTTTATAAGGCTTTGAAAATCTGTTTGTTTGCTTATGTGCATCATGACTCAACCTGGGCTATGTGGTATTTTTTTCTGTTTTCCTTTGTTTTTAATCCTAGGTTAGCTACTCAAAGTTGTCATTTGCAGGTTGGGTGGCCATATAAATCATTTAAATAAATAATCAATTATCCAGTAAAATCAGTAATGCAGTATCTGTGTTACTGATAGCTCCATTGTTTTTGTGTTCCTGCCAAGTAATTGTGATATCATAATTACTTTCATTAAAATATTAGAATAATAATCTGGAAATGTTTAGATAAATAATACATATTTTAATTGTTATTTTTGTACATTTATTTTCTATAAAGTTCTATTTAATTGGTAGAAATAAGATGGTCATTGCTCATAAGTGTGCTCCAAAAATAAGGGACTTAAATGAGATTTTTAAAAATCTCATTAAAAAGTGAAGGAGCAATTAACAGATCATATTATAAAACTGAATTATACTCAAGTTTAATGGATGTAGAAGTACAGATTTATCTGCAAGAGTGGATTTAGCATTAAATAGCATGTAAATGAATTGATGACAGATCATAAATTAATGTTAGTGCTTAAACTGTAACAGAAGCAGAGGAAGATGCCGTTTTATCTAGTATTTTACTGCTCTGCAACATTTGAACAACTACTTAATGTTCTAAGTGCATGCTAACAGCTTGAATAAATCTGATAACTTTTTTTGCCTTTCAGCAATAAGATGGAGAAGACTGAAATTCTAAAAAGAAATAAATTAGGTTAAAAATGAAAAATCTCGTGTTTATGAAGTTCATGATGTTTTCATCTATAATAACTGACAAACCCATACATATTTGATTCACTTGGTTTCATAAAAGAGTTCTGAAAAGAAGTACCTTAATAAGCATTTACCACTCATATGGATGTCAGGCTAAGTAGGTGTCAACAATACTGTTGCCCTATGATTAAGGCTTAGGGTCAGCATATATTAATATTGTTTGTTCTAAAACCTAAAACTTACAGCATTATAAATATTAAGATCAATTACATACACAGGACGGTGATAGAATTAACAAGCTGTCATTTTAAAAAGCTGATGTTTTTGGTATATGGCATATTACTAACCAGGGATATATGGAGAAATATGGAGAATTTTTGTTTAAAAATTATGCCAGAAGTTCTAAGAAAATTCAGGCAAAGCGCTTAGCATACAGGTACACTAAGAAGAGCTGAAGAAGCTTCTTGGATGAGAAGCAAAACGTCTTCAAAGAAAAACAAGGAAGTCCAGGTGCCTTTTGAAAAAGCACTTATGGGACTAAGAAAGCACTCTTTCAAAGGCTTTAGATTAGATTTAAAGTGGATTTAGTTTTGAAATCTTTGTACATAAATAGTTTGGAAAGCAGTTTGATTGCAAACATTAAATAACTAAATAGATTAAAAGTAACTTTAATTACATATGTGAACTATGCATGCTTGGGCTTCCAAAGGCAAAAAGGGCTACTCTAGATCTGAGCCCTTCTAAGATTATGAAATTCATATATAAATTGAATGTTGTCAATTTCACCAATAGTAATTTTATTATCAATTCAGATTGAATTACTTTGGATTTTTTTTTCTTGTTTTTGACTTTGTGACTCACAGTTTGTTATTTATAACGTTTTCTGCATTCACAAATAGGGCTTATCAGGTTTTTTTCCCTACCTGTCAGAGAGCTGTCAAGGTTGTCTGTGCCGCAGCCTGAAGTATGCTCTAGGTCTCGTAATGGCCGTGTGATTTCTATAGCCTCTTCTTCAATATCATCCTCATCTTCATCCTCTGGAATGTCTGCTTCAAAATCTGATATTAATGTTCCAGAGACATATCCTAATGGGGGAGCTGGGGTCTGAGGTGGCTGAATATTGATTTGGTTGTGCCTAGAACAAAGAGAAAGATACATATATTAAGCATTGTACTTACCAATTTATTTAAAAAGCTGAGACCATTATCTAGCCAAACTTAAATCCTTTAAATTGCCATTTATGGCCATTCGTGTAATTTATGCATCTTCCTTAACGTTGACTGCAGTTAGGTGGAGATATGTTTTAATGGTAATGCAGAATGAATCGATTTTTAAGGAGAAAAATGACACCTTTGAAGGATTTGTAGGTGTTCTAAAACTTATTTTTTCTTGCATGCCTATTTCCTAATTTTACAGCCAATTATCATCATTGTAATACACTGTATGCTCATGTGAATGTAGTACATCCAAAATAATACAAATTATGGGTTTATTCAAAGCATTAATACTCTGGATAAATCACTGTTGAAAGTAAACAGTAAATTTCTTGAGTATGTTTGATGCACTTGTGGAGGTATAAAAGTCAAGTCATTTTATATCCATCCTCTGCAAGCCATTTTTGAATAGCATTGAAAGTAAAGGATTTTTTCACATTACTATTAGAGCTCAAAAGATAGCCAAAACAAAATATTTACACAACAGTATTCTTAGTTATGTTTATATAGACATCATGATAAAGAGTAATTTTATGGCTACTACTGAAAATGATGCAGTCATTTTCTATCTCAATAATAATTTAACAGAGCCTTTTAATTTATTTAGTATTATCAAAAGTAGTAGAATTAAAAGCAGAAGCAACATTAAGATAAAATATTAAAATAATAATTGAAAGTTGCATGGGCTATTGCTCTACAGAAAATAAGAAAGGAAATCAAGAGTTTCAAGACTACAATAAAGTCCATTCTAATAATTTTGAGTCAGAACTGGGGAGTCTGATTTAGTCTTCTGAGACAAAAATCAAATAAATATTGGCTAATTCCCAATAAGAGTAGCAAAACACACCAATTGGAATTGGAAGCATTCACCAAACACATCAACTCTGTGGACAGATACATGAAATTCACACGGGAAGATATTAAGGAAAATACCCTGGCCTTCCTGGACTATGCACTACACATTAAGGAAGACAGAAGCCTTAACAATGAAGTTTACAGAACTCCCTCCCAACAGATCAATATTTACATTTTGATTCTCACCACCAGCTGGAGCACAAAATGGGAGTTATCAGAATCTTACACCATCAAGCTGAAAGTCTGCCTACCAGCAAAAATGGGAAAGAAAAAGAACTAAAACACATCAAAAAAGCCCTCGGAACGTGTGGCTATCCCAAGTGGGGCCTTCATCAAATCCCAAAAAAGACCTAGCACAGTGGTTCTCAACTTTTTTAATGCCGCAACCCCCAACTGGTCATAAGTCGAGGACTACTCAACCGGTCATAAGTCGAGGACTACTCAACTGGTGCAGCACCGTTTGCAGAATGGGACTTTTGACGGGCTCAGCAGGGCAGAGACAGCCTGGAAAATTCCTATTGGCTTTTGAAAGCCAATAGAATTAGACTGTATTCAAGAGAGTCTATTCTATTGGCTTTCAAAAGCCAACAGAATAAAAGGGAGTAGCACAGCTAAGGAAAAGGGGGAAAAAATGGCAGACTGCGTTGTTTGGCGACCCCCGTGAAATGGTCGTTCGACCCCAAATGGGGTCCCGACCCACAGGTTGAAAACCACTGACCTAGCAGGCAAAAAAGAAAACAATAAACAAAGCAACGTTGTCATTCCATACGTTGCAGGAATATTGGAAAAGCTCCAGAGGATCTTCAGTTAACACAACATACCCTTCAAACCTAAGAATACACCAAGGCAGAAGCTTGTCCACCCCAAGAATAAAACACCCAGATACAAACTGAACTATGTGGTATATGCAGTACAATGCAGTGAGCCATGTGCAGATCTGTACATTGGAGAAACAAAACAACCACTTCATAAACAACATAGGAGAACAAACTATCAGGACAAGGTTCAGCAGTCCATCTACATTTAAAAGACAAAGGACACTCTTTTGAAGACAACAAAGTCCACAATTTGGACACAGAGGACCGCTGGTTTGAAAGAGGAGTCAAAGAGGCCATCTATGTCAAAACTGAACAGCCCTCTCTCAACAGAGGGGAAGGGATACGACATCATCTATCTCCAGTCTATAACACAGTCCTTTCACAACTCCAAGAAGGCTCCACACCCATTTGCACTACTCAGGTGACCCTGATGACACAGATAAACCTCCAGATGGCCTTAACAACTCTCTAAAAATATGCAAATGACCAGACGTCTACAAGCAGTATACATCCTTCCATTCCCCACCATCCAGTCAGAGCTGAAAAAGCTTCTTGGATGAAAAACATCTTCAAAGAAAAACAAGAATGTCCAGTTGCCTTGTGAAAAAGCACCTTTGGGACCTTTATTCTTTATCTTAGTCTCTAACCTCATTTTCCAGAGAAGGTATGTACCGGTATGTAGTCTAGTGACACTCTAACAACTACACTATCTAACTACAATGTAACATAATGTAATGTAACTTAATGTAACATAACAACATCTCATCCCATCTCATAATAAATATCAAGAGTCTCGTTCCCCCCACCCTCAATCCCTTCTGTATCTCCTCTCCATGTACTCCTATGGAGGTGTTTCTCTTTCTGTTCACTTGGGAAATAACAGAAAATTCTTCTGAGAAGGGACGAGCATGGATTACATGAATTTAAGAATCAAATGAAGAATCAATTTCAGGGAATTAATTGCAGGTAGATAATGAGGTTTAATTATTTCCTCCATTTTAAAGCATGTGAGCAAAATCTGTATATATTGTAAGATTAGTGCTTTAGAGGAATGATAGCCAGACAGCAGAACAGCTGGGTTTAGAGGTAACTTGCCAGCATACAATGAAAAATTTCAAACAGTTGCGTGTAAAGGTTACTGTACTGTGATAAAACAAACCAGTGCACCTTGGAACATTTTATTTTAATTCAATAACATGTCAATTTGATAATGCTTGGAAAAGATTCAGTACTTCAGCTTCTATAGGAAGATGGATAAGAGTATTCCAGTTAAAAAAATTCTTACGAAATGCTGGAAAATTCTCAACCCATTACAGTGATCTCTATCTTTAATTTCAGTGACCACTCTCATATTTATTATACCTTCAGATTTGTATTTACCTTAAGTATTTAAGATTTTTTAAAAGCTGGTAATCTCTAAACTTAAACTGATTCTTAATTGCTACTAAGTATCTCTCCATCAACCTTAAGTGAAATAATGAAATATGAACACATTTAATTCAGGGAAGGGAAGGAAAGGAAAGAAAGAATCCTTGCAATTGTCCAAGCTTGTTTTCCTGACAGTCCTTTTTGCAGGACCATAATTATATGAGACCCAGAGAATCTCTATTTTAAGAAAGTGTATGCCAAGAAATGAAAGGATTTTAGCATTTATCACTGCTTCTCCGAGGTCACAGAAGCAGTATAGAAACTAACTGATTGACCCTTTAACCTGTGCTTTTCATATAGTCCCTATGGATGCACCAATTCTTCCAAATTCCATTGGCTTTCAGATGATAAGGAACAAGGGAGTCAGCTTGTTCCTGCAGGATAAGCTATATGTTCAGTTTCTTTTTTAAAAAGCATTTAAAAATATTTCTAGCCCTCACAGAACTATAGTTTCTGGGCATATGAACTAGAAACTATGTTCTTGCATTTGGTGCTTGTAATATAAAGAAAGCATAGAAAAAGGCAAGTTGGTAGCAAATGAAACAGTATAAAGCTCCACATAATAATGATACCCCCTGTATCGGAAGTAAAAAATGCAATGTATTTTAAAAATATCTTCTATAGTTGCCATTCTCATTGATTCAGAGTGGCTACACAAAAAGTGTAAAGATAAATATACTCATATTATTTCTGCATGAAAAAACCCTGTACTTTAAGAGAAGTCAGTTCTTTTTTGAAGGGCAGAGACAATTCTGCCATATAAAAATATTAATTGAAAGGAAATTCCTTTTATTTTTTCTCCCATTCTAATCCACTCTTCCATTCTACCTTGGGCATAGCATTTTCTTTATGAATACAACATGAAAGAATGGATTCCACTGTCCCATCACTGGGTTTCACTTCAATAGGGTACTGCAGCCCTTCCAGCAATTTCTAATAAATCATGTTCAAATGCCTGGGTTTTGTACTTTGGAAACCCAAGCATCCATGATCAGTTTGTTGGATGAAACTAATAACAAAAGCTACTTATGTGTTAGCACTCTTTCAAATACAGTTACTACTACCTGTAAGCTGAAAAGTAAAATCCTAGAAATCCTTATAAAACTTTAAAAAGCTTTAGTCTGGTTCCGGGTCACGGTGGTGCGGTCAAGCGAAGAGAGTCGTCTCTTCACCGGCCAAGTTTCCTCCACCGGTAGACCATGAGTGGGTCGAAAAGTCACTCTGGAGGAGCGACTACCGTTGAGGAGGCTTCCTGGACGACTGCAGAGGAGCGGTGGCGTCTTCTGTAGTCCAATTATCTCCTTTGGGCCGACGGAGTAAAGATCGGTCAGTAAAATGACCGATCATTTAGCTGCGCCAACTGTAAGCCATAAGATCATCTAAGCAAATAGACCCACCATGGAAGATTCGGAGAGATTTTCTTTTACCTCTACGTTCCTTTTTTTTCCTGTGAAAAGCTTTTTTTTTTAATCATTTCCCTATTTTGTTAAAGCGGTGTTGTTGGTGGGGGAAAAGAAGCTTATAAAAAAACCTAAATTTATTTTTATTTTTTTCAATGGTTGATTTTATTTTTGGACATTTGGGAGCCCCAAGAAATTTCATTACAGAGATATAACATATCAATTGTTTGGAGAATACTGTTTTTTATTTTTATGGTGTCTGGAAAAACTGAATATTTGAATAACTTTGATTATTCGTTGGGGGACATCTTCTGGTGAGGCTATTCATTGCAATTGTTACTTTTTTTTCTTTTGGAGTCTGATTTTGGCTTTCAAATTATTATAAAGGAAAAAGATAAAGAAGCCATATAGCTGGGTAGGGTGGATATTGACTGATTCTTCTGAATATAGTCTCTCCCAAAAGGACGTTGGCTTTAAATATGATACAAATGGAAGAAACTTGTCTAAATCTCACTTATAAGTATATATTGGACAAAATTCTGGAAAACACTGAGATGATAGTTGCTTACACAAAAAAGATTTCAATGACAAATTAAAACACAAGGTGTAAGTAAGCACCCTGAAAGCCAAGAAACAGCAGAGGGGACTTATATCCAACAGAGTTCTTTTCAACCTTGCTTCCAGCCCACTGAGATGGAAGAATCAAATTTCCAGGCGGATTATCAACCTATATTGGAAAAGATTCTTGATGCTAATGAGCAAGTGATTTATAATAAGGAAATGGAGGATTTTACCCCAGAAGGACAAGCTGACTTGCAGACATCATCTGATTTTTTTGACAGAGAAAAAACTAACAGAAGAAGAGCAATACTTGATCAAAGAGGACTATATATTATCCTATTTACAACCTACTAAGAAAATGATGCCAATTAAACTTTTTGCAACTTTAAAAAAGATGGGAAACGATGTTCAGCTACGAGTTATTGAGAACAGCTACAATTCCTATATTAGCTTAATAAAATGGCTAATGGGAGACTCACGTTTGGTGTACATGTTATGGCAAGAGATAATGGGAGATCTGTTTGAGGAACTAGAGACTCTATTACAGAAACCCATTTGGAATAGAAAGAAACCCAGAATAAGATATAAATATTGAATTTAAGATTACAGTGATGGGTGGTAATGGATTTATAGAGACTTGGACTGATTTGGATGTGGATTTTGTCAAAAAGGAGGTCATTACGAAAAGATTTAGAATTTAATATTGAAATATAGTAAGAATGTTTTTTGGAATGATAGATTATTTTTTGTTTCTCTCTTCCTTTTTTGCTTTTCCTTTCTTCTTTCTTTCTTTGTTTTGTCTCCTTGGTTTATCTATACTTTTTTCTTCGTGTTATTTTTTCTTTTTCTTTCTTAGTATATTTTTATGTGTTTTTAATATTAGGGGTGGTATAATGAGAAAAAAATTGAAATAGCGGAAGAGATGAAATTAATAATTGGAGAATTATTTAATAAGAATAGAACGTAGTTGAGAGATGTAAGAATTTAGTTATGGAAATAATATGTTTAAATAAGAGAAACTTGGGGTACCTGAATAGTATATAAATGTGTTAGTTTAATTTAAATGTTTGAAAAATTAATAAAGCGTAAAACAGAATCTTATGGGATAGATAATGAGCTGTTGAAAATTTTTTATTGATTAATGGAATCTATATGTAGTGATATATTAATGAATGAATTTGTTTTAGAAATGTATTAATTTGAATACAATACTTTAAATAGAGAGAGAGTGTTAGTTTAAGTTTAAACATTTGAAAAACTAATAAAATGTAAAATAGGATTCTATGGGATAGATAATGAGTTGTTGAAAATTTTTTATTCATTAACGGAATTTATATGTATGAATTTGTTTTTAGAAATGTATTAATTTGATTATATTATCCTAAATAGAGAGAGAGGGGAATTTCAAGGAACATTGTCTGAGCTGTATATTTATAATGTTATTGTTTTTAATTGATAACCCTATCTCCACGTTGGTTCTTAAGCCTTGTTGGTATAAAATGGAAAACTAATAAAAATTGTTTAAAAAGGAAAACTTTAAAAAGCTTTAAAAACTTGGGCTAATAGCATGTATGGTACATTTTATAATTCAGTCCACCTAAACTATAAATACTTTACTCTCAGTCTTGTATTCTATTACACCTTTATATACCAGGATCATAAATTCAGTTTGTCATAATTGCTCAGGTCAACTTTGAACCAGGTATAGCTTCTCCAATTAATTGAAAAAGATGCCACCTATGCGTATATTTTTAAACTTTCAATCTAATATAAAACTTATCCATACAGATTTTCAAGAGGTCCACAAATTTTCCTTAATCATTTCTACAGATACAGTTGATGGTTTGTACTTGATATAATGTAGTTTTGGAATGGAATATATGAAATAGCAATTCAAACATAAAAGCAAAATGAAAGAAATACTTAGTTGGTCACTACTTGCTTACCTGTAACCTTATATAAGAAGTATATTTTATTTATCTATTTTATGGGCTTTTGAAATAGGGGAGGCAATGGGATACATTTTATAACTCACCTTAAATAAAACAGATAATTTTATTTTTTTAAAAGAAACAAATGGCCATTTAATTCAAGAAACCTATTTATTAGTTGGTAGTTTAAGTGATTAAGCCATTTATGTCATGATTCTGTCAAGAAGAAATAATCTGCATCTATCCATTAATCTAATTAATTCTTTTTTATATAGTTATGTCTATCTGCTGAAACTAGGACCTATCAGTCTTTAAATCATATACAAGTGAATTTTGATGATGGTCACATTTACCATGCTTGCTTTGCTACATCAAACTGATATGCCCTGGTCAGCTCATCAAGATGGGCCTGAAGCATAGGTTGCATTTCTTCTCTGGGAGAGGGAGTTAATGTCGCAGTAGACTGTTGTCCAAAAGAGATTGCAGGGGAAGAAGCCACTCCTCGGACAGGAGGTGTAGGAACTCGGTCATCTTCTTCAAGTTCATCCTCCATTCCCTGATGCAAGTATGTCTGGACTGGTAAAGGTGGGCACCAATCGTCACTGTTGTACCTACAAAATAAACAATTTTGGTTCACATTGGAGTCTTAAAATTCTAACAATCATGTAATAGAGATAGTAGACATGCATCTTTGTCATTAAGGGCACTCTACTTAAAATTTTGCTCAAGCATGACATTCACAGGGTGACTTTCTAAATGTTCAAACTAACAACACAGTTCTATTATGAAGCTAACACTGGAAGTGTCACGCAAGGGGGAATAAATTTATACTGCATTGAATTTCTGCAAGAAAAAGGTAAGATGTAAACCTAATAAAATAAAAAAATTAAAGGGTATTTACTAAGCGAAGTATTAGCATACAGTTGTAAAATTAGAATTAAAAATGCCACTTGTTTATTTCGATAAAGTTAAGAGTTATCTTTCCTTCCTTTCAAAAATATTATTCTGACTTGATATTCTATTCAACACTAAAAAGCACGCTAATGTCATTAAATAATCCTTCCTTTGGCTGACATGACCAGCAATGTCAAGCAAACAAATAATTGTGCAAACTATGGGACAAATGCAGAGGTGGGTTTCACTAGTATTACTTATAACTGGACAGACAATTAATGATAAATATTTCCAATGCCTGATTTATAATGTCAATTGAGACTGGAATTTCTGTAGCTAAGTGATGTGATCATAAACTGCAACTGCATCACTTACGGTCCCAGTTGCCACTGTTAGCTGAATTTCACGTTGATAGGGGACAAGTTTCTGCTAGCTTCCCACAACCAAGTCAGTGAGGAAGCTGTGCAATTTTAAGCTGCTTGCAAGTTTGCCTGCAGGTAGATAAGTGATTGTTGCCAGTCGACAGAGGGTGCGAGGAGATGTGCAAAAATGCAAAAGAGGTGCAGAAAGGCTCAGGAAGGGTGTGTGAGTGTGTGCAGGATTGCATGGCAGTTGGGGATGGTGCATGATGATGTACAAGGGTTTGAGGGAGAAACAGGAAGAATGCACAAGGATGAATGGAGGTGCATGAGGGTGTGAGGGAAATGTGGCAAGGCCTAGGAGAGTGTGTGAGGATCCATGAGCATACATGAGCATATGAGGGAGGTGTGGCAAGGCTCAAGGGAAATGTGTTGAGGCTTGAGGAAGATGGGGCTCAAGTGCTTGGCATGGTTTAAATGCAGATGGACTGGGGAAGGGTGCACAGGTGGGGGAAATTTACTCTAGTGTCTTGTAACTTTCCCTGCTAGCTTTATTGATTTTCTGGGAAAGCTGGCAGGGAAGATAGCAAATGGCAATCACTTAATTGTAAGGCACTGCAATTGATCATGTCTAATCTTGTTGCAGGTGCACATATTACAATCATGTGATTGAAAGTTGCTGGGAGAGCCAAAATGCTGATGACTGGTCATAAGTATTATTTATTCAGCACTGTCATAACTTTGATCTCTGAATGAATGGTTGTAGGTCAAAAACTATAAATAATTCAAGGCAGCAAACATACTAAATACTCCTTCCTGTTTTTCCCCACAAAAACTTTGTGAGGTGAGATACGTTGAGAGAGAGCCCAAAGTCACCCAGTCAGCTATCATTCCTAAGGCAGGACTAGAATTCACAGTCTCCTGGTTTCTAGGACAGTACCCCAACCACTGGTTCATGTTAATTGTGACTGGAATTTCTATCTCTAAGCAATGATATATAAAGGCCTTGGAGTTGAATAATGATTCTATTTCATAACAAAAATTAACTTGAATCTTAAAAATAGAAGTTGGCAGTCATTTTTGTGGAGAAATATTTTAATTTGGATTCCAGTTTAAGGTGCTTGGGATTTGTATTATGTAGCATCAAGAACTAGGATATAACTCTGCCCACTACCAAGAGTTTGATCTTGACTGGCTCAAGGTTGACTCAGCCTTCTATCCTTCTGAGGTTGATAAACCAAGGGCCCAGATTTTTGAGGACAATATGCTGACTCTATAAACGGTTTCGAGAGTGCTGTAAAACACTATGTAGTGGTATATAAGTCTAAGTGCTACTGCTATTGCTACCATATATTTCGGCATATAAGACGACTGGGCATATAAGACGACCCCCAACTTTTGAGAAGATTTTCAGGGTTTAGAAAGTCGTCTTATACGCCGGAAAATATGGTATATGCAAATATGTATTTAATGTGTGTATAAAACATACAAATACATTTGAGTTTTCACATAAATTTAAATATATGAATCACACTCCTGGCATGGTAGCTAGATTTCAATTTTTGGTAAGTAGATAAGCAAAGTATTATAAAGTATGGGAATCGTATGTTTTAGAAATTAAGTGTGACTATCTGGAGTTCAAATAGATCTCTTAGATACCTTCTAAGATTTGTGAGGTCCATGCTATTGTTGTTTATTATTTAGCACTATATTTTTTGAGAAATAGAATCTGGAGAACAAAGAAACCATACTGGAAATGAAATGACATTGTCAGTAGCAATTAAGGATATAAAAGGAACATCCTTATCATTGGAAATTGAACTCTTCTCTTAAACTTTCAGTACTGTAGAGAGATGAAAATGTGCATTTGTAATGGAAGTATATGGAGCTCAGGATTACTGAGTTAGATGGATTAAAATACTGTTGTAATAAATGTATATGAAAACTTTTACACCTACAAGGTCTCTTCAAACTTCACAATAAATGGCTGTCCCACTGATGGACTTTAGCTGTCAGATACTGGATTCAAAATTATTCAAAGGAAAATACATTACCCTTGTTCTTGTGGATCCACTCCATAGTGTTCTAACTCTGTTCCTGGAAGTGGATGTATTGGAGGAGGTGGAAGAGGAACACTGGTCCAGGTAGACCCATTATTTTTCTGAGTCTTGGAAGTATTTTTGTTTTTCTTTTTTTTTCCTCCTTTCCCACCTGAAATCAAGAAGCAGTATAAAAATATGAAGAAGCTAAGTTAATTATTTACATATTTCTACTTCCACAAAGAGTTTTGATTCCAGATGGCACATTTAAAATAAGAATGAAAGCATGAAAAAAAAACTTTGTTCTATTTTTATTTTACTAATATCAGCAGCAAAATGTTACAGCTGACATAAGTTAGAAATAATAACAGAGTGATGTGGCGTGAAAAGAGCCTGTACAATTGTCAAGCATTACTTCTTTTCATTTAACGAACTCCATGTAACTTAATCTCAAGGAATCATAAGTGGAATAAAAGTTAAAATGTTCTTTCTGTGTCAAAACTGTATTTATAGATTTATTTTGTCTGTTTTAAATTTTCATGCAATATATGTTAGGGAAAATAAAACACCAGAACAAAGTGCTTCAAATCACAGAGTATTTATAACACTGTTTCTCGGGCAGACTTCTCAGTTATTAAGAACACAATCCCAAATATGATTCATTTGGTTTATTTCCAGACACAAAGCCAAGTGTAGGTGTTAAACTCTAAAAAACACTCTATAAGCAGTTTATTACTGGAATAGGTTTGCAACATTCAGCTAAAAATGCAAAAATAATGTGTAAGTGTAATATTTTGAATCTATTCACTTTCATAGCCTCCCTCCCAATTGTGAAAAAAAAAGATTATACCTGGAGAAATGAACATTGAGGAATGGAAAAAAATAGATGAGAATATATACACATATCCATGATAAGATTACATCACATTTTATGGAAATTTAAACTTAATAATAACTAATGATCATACTATATTTGGTCATAACGTGCTATATGCCAAAGAAGAATGAAACATCAAACAGAATTAGACAATCAGACAGAAGAATTCTGAATGGGTAAAGGTAATAGAGAGGTTATAGAAGATACACATATATAGAAATAAATATAAGAGTAATAAAAACAGAAACTGACAAGACAATAAAAATACTATAAATAACTTCCCACACTTTTAATATTTGATTTTTTTTTAAAAAAATGGCATGCATAATATAATGTGTTACATTGCAGTGGGATTTTATATTGTTATTTATGTACTGTGGTCCAGCTTGATGGCATTTACAATAATTACACTGCAATATCCAGTATACTATCTTTGCTTTATGTTTGGATATAGTTCTAAATATTTTAAATGCTTTTCTTTCAATTCCAATATATTTCTACTACTGAATTTATTGATATACTGGACATCAGAGATATTGTGAGTCTGCACAAGAATATGCGTCCAATAATAGTATATACAATAAAAAAAACCAATCATAAATATCCTTAGAGAAAATCAAAGTTGTAAAGTGATTAATTTATAGAAAGGAAGTAATGCTTCAGAAAGGTGAGAATTTTATGAAACAAAATTTCCATTCATGATGAAATATATAGGAAACAAATTCATACATAATTTATATATTCTCTAAATTAGCTTCTTAAATTGAGCAAATAAAGTATATTTTTCAAAAAAAGCAAAAAAAACCCACACAATTTGTATGATTATATATGACTCAGGTATGTTTACATGAAAGTTATACCCAGTAATTGATCACATATCTTGAGCCTTAGGTTTATAAAACTGAATTAAAAATAAAACTACCTTCTTATGTAAATTGTATTCAACCAACCTGAGAGGCTGTCGCTCCTTTCTGAACTGTTGTGGGAGCTGGTGGTGCTGAAATCTTGTGACTGGTTGTGTGGCATTCTATTAGACAATCCCTCAGACAATCGGTAGTCAGGGATGTAAAGCAAGGCTAAGGGTTAAAGGGCAAAGGTCATACTACCTTCTTGTGATTAGTTTATAGCACATGCACAACATGCAGTTAACTCATAATCAGCTTATAAGTAAGATGTATTAAATATTTAACCTAGTGTATCATATTGATAACAGGATGCAATGCAGATATATTAAACTGGCAAAAGATGAAAGAAACTGAAATAGCATAGTCCAATTAGTTGTATTTGTAAAGTTTTAGAATACATGCAAGATACATTAAAGGAAGTGGGAACAGAAGAGGGTAAACTATAATTTTCTACCCCCACAGAGAACATATTCATAAAAGAAAATTAAGAACAAGAATCACCATTGTTGCCTTTGCCCTGATCTGGAAGAGAGTAACCAAATCCCATTAAGTCACTTTTCTGCTGAATTGAACTTTTCCACTGAGGATCTGGTAAATCAACTGCCAATTCATGGATGCTGTTAGAATGCAGTATTTGTGTTGTGGCATATGGAGTAGCTTGTGTTATTTGGCTGGAACTGTTGTAACTAGTTTTGGTACTGAAGTCAATGCTGCTATAAATGGCTCCATCAGAAAGCATTGTGGCAGTCTTATCTCCTGGCATTGGAGGTAGCACATCTGTGATGCAAACAGAGAAATGGAAGGAAAAAAAATAGTATTATAAGCAAAAAATACTAAGATCAAGGTTTTAATATGAAAAATAAATATATCATGCTGCACATTTGGTTTTCAGCTGAGACAGTTTCCATGAGCCAGTGAAGGGAAAATGATGTACAGCCTATGCCTTTCTATCAGCATCTTTGACAAACTTTGCACTTGTCCTTCACATCTCACTGCTTAAAGCCATATTTCCTCCATATCTTCAGCTGTGAAAATGAAGCTTGGAATATTTTTGTCCTGAACACTATTTCCAATTGTTCATTTTATGTCAGTGTCAATGACACTGTCGTGCTCAAGGGATATGATAAAAATCACAGAACAATCTCTTTTTATTTCCCCCCCGCCTTCATCTTACAAGCATTGCACAAACTACTGAATGGACACAGCGATATCTTCAGTTATTCTTTTTAAAAAGTCTTGGTCAATACTATTTTAATGTATTTATTTTTAAAATCATATGCATAATTTTAAGAGGACAAAATAAAAAAAATAAATTATTTTGGAATGTTTTCTTTTTTCATTTTGAAGAATTTCATCTAATTAATTGAGACTCTGCTAAAACACAGAGTTACTTTAAATTTAATATTAGATAGAAGTTTAAATGATTTTATTATTTGTTTAAAATTATTTTAATCTACTAAGTGAAGTACAAGGGATTAAACTTTTGGTCCCAGTGACTGACCCTGATTGGATTCTGTAATAAAATTAAGTGGCCAAATATTATTTATACAAAATAATTATCACAATATTAATGTTTACCCTAATGCAGTATGAAGTCTTTTTATTTCTCATTTTATTTCAGTAAATAGCATAAACCAAATGCTCTCATGGAAAAGTGAATAGTGTAGTTAAGAGTAATGAAAAGAAATGAAATACCCTGATATACCATGAGCTGTGTGTAGCATGACAAGAACATTTGTGAAAAACAGTACAATAGAAGAACAATCATTAATTATTAAACTGAACAATCAAATTAAATATGAATTATTATTTTCTTAAGGCAGCCAAAAAAGACAAATATAGCAATAATGAATCGGAAATCAAGTTTCCAAACTAAAATAATAATATTCATTCATAGTATTTTTGTATCACGGACTCTGCAGACTCAATGCAGTTTAAAAGCTAATACTTTGTTCTGCTAGAGAAGGCCCATCTTGAGCACACCTTCCATTTCTGGGAACCACTCACAGACAAATAGATGAATTGTATAGGTTCAAAGAAAACAATGATCAAGGGACTAAAAAGTGACTGAATGAATTAGGAATGTTTAACCCTGAGAAGAATGAGGAAGGATATGTTTGCACTTTTCAAGGACCAGAACAGATGTTACACAGAAGAATATGAAGAGCTACTCCTACTTGTTCCAGACTGCAGAGACTGAATTGCAGTGGTGGAATTCAAATATGTGAACAACCGGTTCTCTGTGTGGATGCCGTTTCCGGAAGTCCATTCTGGGCCTGGGCAACAAAAAATTAGCTGCTGGTTCTGCGGAACTGGTGCGAACTGGCTGAATTCCACCACTGTTTAATTGACTTAATTTTTAAAAAGGCAGAAATGTTAGAAATATTTTTTTTAAAAACAGGAGCACTTTACTTATATTATACTTTAATTCAGATTCTTGCACTGAGCTGCTTACTGTAGAGTAGAATGCTAAAGCCATGGTGCTGACTGGGATACTCCATTGCTAGTTTTATAACTATTGAAAGTGATTGCACTGACTTTCAATTAACTAATAATCCGTTTAAGCTTTTTGCTTATGATATGTAAGGACATAATCTAACTGGAAGTGATGGGCTTGGAACCAGGATATTTGATGTGTAGCGTTATAGATTTAATCAATCAATGGGATTATTGCAAGAGTTTTGATTTATGTAATATGTAATAGTAGTAAAATTGGAAGGGACCTTGGAGGTCATTTAGTCCAACCCCCTGCTCAGGCAGGAAACCCTACACCATTTCGGACAAATGGCTGTCCAGTCTCTTCTTAAAAACTTCCAGTGTTGGAGCATTTACTGCTTCTGGAGGCAGGCTGTTCCACTGATTAATTGTTCTCACTGTCAGGAAGTTTCTCCTTAGTTCTAGATTGCTTCTCTCCTTGATTAGTTTCCACCCGTTGCTTCTTGTCCTGCTTCAGGTGCTTTGGAAAATAGCTTAATTCCCTCTTCTTTATGGCAGCCCCTGAGATATTGGAATACTGCTATCATGTCCCCCCTTGTCCTTCTCTTCGTTAAACTAGACATACCCAATTCTAGCAACCGTTCCTTATATGTTTTAGCCTCCAGTCCCCTAATCATCTTTGTTGCTCTTCTCTGTACTCTTTCTAGAGTCTCAACATCTTTTTTACATCGTGGTGACCAAAACTGGATGCAGTATTCCAAGTGTGGCCTTACCAAGGCATTAAAAAGTGGTATTAATACTTCACGTGATCTTGATTCTATCCCTCTGTTAATGCAGCCTAGCACTGTGTTGGCCTTTTTGGCAGCTGCAGCACACTGCTGGCTCATATTTAGGTGATTGTCTACTAGGACTCTGAGGTCCCTCTCACAGTTACTACTATTGAGCATGGTGCCACCTATGCTGTACTCGTGCATTTGGTCTTTCTTGCCTAAATGTAGAACCTTGCTTTTTTTCACCATTGAATTTCATTTTGTTAGTTAGTGCCCAGTGTTCAAGTCTGTCTAGATCCTTCTGTATCTTAAGCCTGTCTTCTGGAGTGTTGGCTATATGATTTCAGATGGCTAAACCTTAGCAAGACTGAATGGTGTGAATTTTCAGGAATTGTGGATGTCAGAAGTTCTATCTTTTGTGCTGAATGGCACTAGCCCTTAAAACAGAGCTGTATGATTTCTAGATTCATAGCTCCTGCCTTATGCATGGTCACATCTTGTTTATTTATTTCTTAAATTTGTATACCATGTGATTCCCTTGGGCTCACTGAGATTACTGTAATGTGATTTACGTGGGACTGTCCTTGATACAATTCATTACTCTGCAAGCTGCCCTGGGTGGCAGTGGGTTTCTAGATGGAATTCAAGAGGCTGGCTATCACCTTTAAAGCTCTCCATGGCACAGGATCTAGTATTTGTGGTATCACTTATCTCTGATTAGCTCTTCCAATCTAATAAGATCTGACAGGGTATGTATTGTCATTTTGGCAATATTATTTGGTGGGACACAGGAGACCTACCTTCTCTATCACCCACCCCTCCCGATCTGTAGGGTCTGCCTTTTGTAAAGCCTTGATGAGCCATTTTGTTTTTTCCCTCCCTCTTTTTCAAACACATCTAGATAGTTTGCTTTTGATTGCTGATTTGTGTAACAGTTTTATATTTTATTATACTTTATTTTTACAATATTATGCTGTTTTAACTGTATGCCATCCGGAGTTTATGTTAGGAGAGCAATTATAAAAAATGACTAAATATATAAATATTTTATTTTGTAAACCTCTTGAAGATATAGAAAGCTTTTGTATAAATATATAGTGTAACAATATATGATATTATTACTGGTACTTTTTATTTTCATTGCTTAAAGTTCCATCATCATTTCTAACAAGCATGTCGGACAATGAAACAATGTATCCTGCCATAAACCTCCTACATATTAAGAAATTGGAAAATGTACCTCCACGACCAAAATTCCCAAGGTCACTTGATCCATTGGTACTGTTGTTAACAGGAAGGCTGGTAGCAGGCCAAGAATCCGCAAGCCAAGGATAACTTGGGTCACTTGCATTTAACAGCCCTGGCCGACTAAAGAAATTCAATAATAAAGTATTAATGAGAGAAATCTATGCAACTGTAAAAAAGACATTTAATTTGCTCCATGAACAGTTGTAACAATTCTATGAAATTTGTAAAGTAATTTTATATTAAAATGGGGAAGTCTCTGCATTTAAAAATTTTCAGGGTAAACTTGGATTTTGTATAAGCCAGACACACTGCATGTAAAAACTGGTGGCATACCCACACACAGTTTGTTGTAATTCCAATGAATTCTATCATCTGGGCTGAAAAGAAGGAATAGGCTGTACCATTGAAAGATCGTAAGCCAGGAAGAAATGATAAATTGCTACCTCAAGGGAATAATCATTCAAAGTGACTGTTCTATATCAACCATTTCCAGTCCTCTGGTGACTGTTTTTTCACTTACTGCATACCAAATGTATGTCTGTTATCTAGAAGATGCTAGATTTTCCTCTGAGTGCTCTTGCATGAATTTAAAAGCAAGCAAGTTTAAATGGGATTAATGGAAAATTCAAAGTAGCAGTTCTACTTATGACAGCAGACATCCATATGTTTGTTTTCAGTTTTTGTAAACTGCTGAAGATAGAACATGTATTGACTGAAACAAATGGATGAGATATACATTAGGATTAATCTAAAATTTAAGATATACTCTAGGTTTAATCTTGTTCCTAAAATTTGGTAAGATAAATAAAGATGGAGAGAAAATACGAAGCAAATAAATTGAGAGTATATTAACATTTTTTAAAAGCAAAAGCTAACAGTGGGAATCAACATTTTGTATTAGCAGGTCTTTCATCAGATGTTTGTACTTTACATTTATGACAGTATATTTTTTCTTGCACCCCCAATAATCCCTTCTGTATAATTTCAGAGAGAAGTATGGGTTTCTATAGAAACGGCAATAAGTTGATCACACAGCTTGCTTGACTCATTTATGTACTCTCATTAGACTTAATCCCTTCTTTGCTAAAATATTGATTCAATGGGAGATAGGAAGTTATTACCAGATTCTAATTACAGTCTCCATATTGGCACTGAGAAAATATATGAGGATATCTGGGTCTGTTATCAATTTTTATCAATTTCAATTGAGTGACCAAAGTTGTAGAATCTAGTCCTATCAATTTACACCTTATTCATCTTCTGTGAATCATTTATTTTGTGAACGATTGTATGTAATTGCTCATTCACTGCAATTTAATGGAAGCCAATAAGGTCTCTTAAGCAACAGCAACTTCATTTACTAATGCCTAATTAATGCAATAACTATCTTGAAAACAAATGAATACATTCCTTCTGATATTTTCTAGTAATTTCTTCTTGGGCATCCGGGAAATAGCAAACATCTGGGTTTGATTTCCTTAAGTGTACAACAGATCATTAAAAGCTAGTTTAATCCTTTTAATTCCTCCTAGAATTGCTAGTTTTACATCTGATCATCTCTTTCTGTCTCTAGCTTCTAAAAAAAAGAAGAAAATTAAAAATGGGATAAACATATGAGAAATCCAAAAAGATGTATGATCTGCAAATTACAAGTATACCTTCCATTGCTCATAAGTCCTCCATCTCCTCTTTGAAAAGTGACTGGTTTGTATTTAAAATAGAAAAAAAATAGGAAAAAGTGCATTAGTATTTTATATTGAGTGAAACTGTAATACATAGGATAATTCATAAAGTCAAAAAGCCTATACTCCACTTACCTAAGGATTGTATTTTAAGTGAGATAACTAAGTATAAGGGTAGAAAAAGACGAGGTAATTCCAGTTTCCTCAGCATAATGTTAATTTAAGTTAGTCTTTCTCAGTGACATGTTCACAGAGTAATTTATTTTTGATTTCTTGTCATTATGGGGTTTATAGCAATTTTCTAAAATCAACTGACTTTTGACATAACACATTGAGCTCAAAGCCATTGAATTGTGCATTACAGTACCTTTATTTTTCTAGCTAAATTAAAATGAAACTGCATACTCTAACATGCTAGAGCTTAATGAAACAATAATGATATTAGGTTATAATCACAAAAACATTAGAAATGAAAAACTTATAAAAATTGAAAACAGAAACAGTTGTAAATTTCACAGCAAATATTTCATTTTTTCATACTAATTGCCTTTATTACATAATTTGATAATTGTGTAAATTGATAATATAATTATTACGACTACGTCATAAACCCATTTTAAATCAGCTCATTAAATAATATTCAGATCCAATCACAATGTTCTCAGCATCGTAGCTGTTGGCTATTAAAATGCCTGCACTATTTTCCTCAAATGACAATCTAGGAGACTTCGTATTTGGCTCTGAAAATCATACACGTCTGGGAGAAGGCACCCAAAATTTCTGTGTCAGTTGCTAAAGAGTAAATGTGACTTCTGACCCGCGACATGGGACACGAGGCCAACGGAACACTATGGACTGAGCAGAGAGGAGGCCGGGTCAGACCTGCCCAGAGGAGGATCTGGGTACCTGATTAGTATTAGTCATCTCCTGGGCTGCCCGGAGCCCTGGGCAGTGGAAGACAAGTACCCAGCCTGGCCCTCCAGCTCCTGAGGCACTGGGACCTCGCAGTCCAGCCCAGCCCCACGTCCCAAGAGGGCACCTGGCTGTGCTTACCTCCTTGAGGCTGCTGGTGGTGATTGTGGTGTTGCTGCACAGTGAGGTGAGTTAGCCAACAGTCCTTTCCTAGCTGCAGGTTAAAATCCCCCTGTGGCCTATACCCAATGGCCCCTTCTCAGTCCGTATGACCATGATCTCTGGAAATTACTTGGAGGGACCAGAACTGCATTATACACTCAAGGCTGCTCTGTGCTTGATAGGGCATGGAAGGGCAGGAGAGATGGGCCTGCCTCTTCCCATGACACTTCCTCGCTGCACCAACTCCAGCATCACTGCAGGAGCCCTGCTGAATGACCCTTCCTTGCCCTTCCTGGAGAAGCGCCTCCAGGAGCCAAGAGGGCTCCTGTGCCATTCGTCACAGACAGCCAAAAAGCTTCAACCCAGGGAAACTTTTGCTCCCTGTGAGGCTGCAGTGCAGAGGCGGTGGCCTCCAAGCAGCTGGACTAGGGCAACTAATCACACCAGGCAAGAAATCGGGACCTTCCTTCCCCACTGCCAGTGCTCTGGGGCTGCCAAACAAAACGCTCACCCGGATAGCTTCCCACACTGCCAGGCTGGCTGGTGCTCCCGAGCCTGATCTCTCATTGAGAGTTTGAAAATGACCATACCAGGGCCTCTGGAGAACTCATGAGTCGCACTCCCATTTCCAGACAAAAGGGTGAGTGACCAGGCCCCAAATAGTGTCTCCTTCACCAGGCAGCTGCCATAGGAGAGCAGTGCCAGGCAGGTACCCTGGCTGTTTCTTTAGTGTGCAGAGTGGTGGGAATGGAGGGGCTCTTTTATAGGCTTGGAGGAACCAAGATAGAGCCTGTGGAAAGTAAAAGGGCATGAAGTGGTCTGACTTTGGCAGCCAGCGGGCTCCATTAGGTGCCTAACTTGGAGTTGATGGCCATGAGAAAGGCCCCTCAGTATCTGGTTATGCGTCTCTTTTGCTTCCTAAAACTAACCCCAGCCAGCTGAAAATCCTAGTGCACTGCCTTGGCCCCAAATCCTATTGGCTGCCATTGAGAGTTCTGGTGAATGGAAGTCCTTAAGATCAATTCTTGCGATCTACCCCGGAGCTTCTTCAGGCTTTGGCCTATCTAGTCAGAAGACAGGGCCCCCAAGATAGATGAGGGCCTCCCTAGAGATTTTTCCATTGCCCTCTTTTGGCCATCACCAAGGCCACCTTGCTTAAGAATCTGCAATTGTGTCTCAGTAATTTTGGAAATGGACCACGACACCTTTGCTTTGCACACTCAAATGCCAAATGCCCTGCAGCTCAGGAGCCTCCTGTCTCTGCCCCGCCTCCTCACAAAAGGATGGAGAGGTAGAAGCTGAACAAGAAAGGTGTCACCAAATATTTGTGAATGGCTAGTGATTGCTGATCTTTATTAATTCTATTCATTTTCTTGAGATTTTCACAGCTGTTTCTCATGCAGCTGGGTTTCAGCCTTTCACCCCATTCTGTCAGCTCTGCTGGGGGTGGGAGGGAGGCAAAAGGGAACTGAACAAGGCAAAGGTAAGCAAAATCCTTTACCTTGAAATGTAAGGGCTCCGTGTGCAGGTGGGGCTGGGGCTAGGTGAGGCAAGGCCAATGAGCTGCAATCGGTTCACCAAACTCAATAAAAAATGAGTTATCGGTTCTGCCGAACCAGTGCAAACTGGTTGAATCCCACCACTGGTATTATGTAACAGATTATGTTGAGTCAAATTCAGTATCTATTAAATATTTTATATTAGTGCAGCACAATTTACATTCAGATACAGTAAGGTGGAATTCACAGGAGTATGTTGAGCTCTCTATCTCTGTGTATGATTTTTACCATATACTTTCTCATTAATATATAAATATTGTTCAGAAATATTGATAAATAATAAATACATTTTAACATAAGCAACTATATTTTTGTTTTCTTGCAATACCACTCATACCACAATTTCAGTTCAAACAATTATAAAGATTCAAGACTGAAATATTATTGTAGGTATTAGAATATAAAACAAGAATATCTACACCTTCTGATAAAACACAAAATTCATGTTATCAGTTCCACAAGTGGCTTCATGATATCCATTTAATACCAGTAAGAACACTGCCTATAGGATACCTTACAGAATAAATTTAAGAATTAATGATTAATTGCCTATCACCACTGATGCTTAAGCATCAATATAAGTATATTTTATATTAAATGGTAAGCTGTACCTATCTGGAAATGAATAAATACATATTCAGCTTAAGTATTGTTTCTTATTATATTGTCTGTCATAATCATTAGATACGTTAGATTTAATGGATGCTTTACAGTATGCAAGAAAAATATATATGAGCTTATTTAATTCCAAAATTATATGCCTGTAACAGTGTTAGGTCCTCCCTTACCCCATTTTGCTTTCTTCTTTTTCATCTACTTCTTGTTTACAAAATATTATGAAAGTCAAAATAACATCTAACCTATTTTAGCTAAATTTATAAACATAATCTGAAAGCTTTTATTATGACATTTGATTTACACTACTTAAATTGGAATTTAATAGATTGATTTCAAGACAGCATTTTTAGATAAAAAAATAACCTAGATTTGGTCTAGTTCCTTGATGTTTTATCATAACTTTCTAGCTTTAAAAGAATTGACTTTCCCATTTATAGCAAAAATAACAATTAAAAAACTGCCCTTGTATTAAATGATCATTTCTGCAAATATGTGCTCGGTCTTAATTCAAATTCAAATTCAAATTCTTCAGAGGTTAAACAAAAAAGTTCACTATCTACTCAAAAATACAGCTAGCACAATTAATATATTTCTAAAGCAATTAAGTTATACATATAGATATCTTTACATACTATTACAAATGTCCAAATAGTTCTTTTTAACTTTACTCCATTATAGACATTATGTCTGCTTCTTAATAACAATCAACATTATGTACGAAAAGACAAGAATATGGAGCGATGAGAACTGAAACACTGAACTGACTGAAACATAATAACTCTCAGTAGTGGCACAGTAATATAATCAGAAAGTTGAAGGAGTGGAAAACACATTTGGATTGAAATGATTTTTTAAAAAAGTATTGGAGATCATTATGACAAGTAGAATATGAGATAGCTACAAATATTCTGTTAACCAATTGGACTTATGTGCTAAGTAAAACCGAATTTTTTTTTCTAAATTTATGAAGTTCCTGATTGATAATGTATCTTGCATTTCTTTATTATTCTCATATACTGGCCAATATTTACAAATCATTATTAAATAGGACACTAAATTATTCATAATAGCCATTGAATTTCTTCTGGATATATCCTATAATTTGGTATTTTACCCATATCCAAATTTCTTTCATTTAAATTTAGTTGACAGTGTGTTGGGTCTTTGAAAATGTCTGTGCAATCCTACTCTTGGAAAACGGTTTATTCTCCTGCCTTCTATGTCCCTGTGCAGCATTTTCAAGAAATTGGAATAGTTTCTATGGAGGAATATATAATGCATCTGAATACTTTTGGAACCCATTTACAAAAATTATTGGACATATGTCCTAACAAAATAATTTTAAATAAGCTAAGAAAATGATAAAGAATGTAGCTCGAGTGATGAATTAATAAGCACCATGTTAGATGTTTCTATCTGTCATTTTCTTTAATTTGATTTGTAGAATTATAGATTAAGGGTAAACTGTTAAATACTGTAGAATATATCTTTATTATGCATAAAAAATTATAACAATGCAAACAGATTTTATTAATCTAAATTTAATAGGAGTAAAATATCATGGAAACAAAAAAGAAAATAAAGTATATTTCCTTAACATTCTTCTTCTTCTGTCTTACCTACACTATTTGCACAAAAAATAGTCACTTTTTATTGCCTTACATAGATTTTAAAATGCTAAAGAGTAACCATCATCTTTAACATAGATTAGACTTTGTAAAAAAGGAATATAGAAATTTTAAAACAGAAATAGGGAAATTAGACTTTT